TACGAGGCTAAAAAACGTTACCCCGTATTAATTAAAATATCGGAAAAATCTTCCGGCAATTAACCTGCAGCTATTGACAATTTATTTGTCTCGGCGAGTAATTATTTTTTTAAATTAGAAATTCTTTGTTAAAAAAACTTTTTTTTATTTTAGGTAGGAACTATTAAATTGTGTTCTATCTCAACTTCTATATATTCAGTTTCTTTTTAAATTCAAGCTAGCTATGTATTAAAAGTTTATTTTCGATTGAAAGTTTTGATTTTCTATTCATTCTAATTTTCTCTATTTAATACCCGACTCTTCCCGTTCTTTAATGTGTTCTTTCCACTTTAATTTAATATCTAGGTTCGTTCCTAAGTATTTCGCCAAATTAGAATATGGTATTCTAGTATTATTTAATGTCACTGGTAGGTATTATACTGATATTTTATTAGTGATTTAGTTTCGTTTCTGGTCGATTCTTCTATGGTTCTATGGCCGTGTCTTCGACAAATGTGGATACTTTCACATTTAGCATTTGTGATATGTCGGAGGTAAACAATAAGTAAAGAACTGGCCCCAAAACACTTCCTTGAGGTATCCCTGCTTTAGTTTCTTTAAGCTTGAAATAGTTTTCTTCTCGTTTGACTCGGAAGGTTCTATTAGTCAAGTAAGATTTTAAGATGTCACCCTCTAACCATTCTTTATCGAAAGCTTGAGCTACATCTAGAAAGAGTGAGGTGCATATCTTCTTTTCTTCCAGTGTTTTCTCTATTTCATTCGTTATTTTGTGGACTTGGTCAATATTGGAATGCTTCTTCCTAAATCCAAATTGGTAGTCAGGTATTAGGTATATTTTTACCGTCTACCACTGGTTTCGAAACACTCAGTTTCCCATTTTTTCTTCTCATTCTATCCATTTGCTTTCTTATTTTCTTTAAATATTCTTCCATTTTCCTGTCTCTTCTGTCATTATTGTCTTTATCATTTTTACCTCTATTTCTTGTATTTTCATATTCTTGACTTCTAATTTATTCTATTTCTTGTTCAAATTTTTCCATTCTTCTATTCTTCCAATTCTTCTACATCCATATTACCTTCTCTTCCAGTCATTTTCCATTGTTCTTTGAGTTTCTTCATTTCTTCTACAATTTGTTTTTTTAATGACTTATTTCTCTTTCTGTTTCTTCCCTTACCTCGTAGATCTCTTTCTTCACATCCTTTTTTAGACCTTCCATTTCCTTTACTTGTTTAATTAAACTTCTCCTTACATCCTCCTTTTTTTTTTTTTCACTTCTTTCCATGATTTCTACGATTCTTTTTATATTTACTTCTGTGATTTTTTTTAACGTTTGTTGCATGTTTTTCTGTAAATCATTAACTTTATTCTCTTATTTTTCCAACTCCTTCTTCATATTATTGTTCAAATTCTCTATTTTCTTGTCTTGTTCTTCAAATTTTCATCAACATCGTCAAACTTGGTATCTAGTTTTATAGTATACCTAATTTTATGGTCGTAGAAAAAGTATTGTACATGACGTGATTGTTTCACACTATTAAAGTAATACACTATATTTGCTTTGTTTTTAAACTATCATCGTGCACACACCTCTTAATTAAAAGCAGACTAATAATGAGTTGCGTAAAAATTGCAGAAATTACACCTTTAATAGTTAATATAAATGAAAATTTCCAATTATTTTTCCCTCGACATCTTTAAGCGGAATCCAAATTGGCTCAAAAAACTCTTAGGGCGATTCCCATTCCCCGAGAATAATTTCTGCTGGCAGTTTACGAATTATCCAATTATCTTTTGGGCGTTCTTTTTGTAAAATTAAGGAAATTTTTCATTAACGTTTGGAATTACACTTTAAAAGTTATTAATCCCGAAATACATTTTAATAAATTAAACTGTTATTTATTTAGATACCTACACTACGCTGATATCCATTTATATAGGTGTTATCTTGGTCTTGTCACCCAAGAAAATGTAGGTTGGTAATTAGATATATATCCCACAATCTTTATAAAGATAATCATAGTTTAGCAATCGTTAAAGCAGGACAGTATCAAAACTGTCTTCTAAGAGGTGAATCATGTTATTATGATGACCGATAACACATTTAATGTACTCTGAAAAGGTTATACAACAATAAATGACCATATTTCTTCTTCATTTTATTTGATTAGTTAATTCTCTCACATCACTATTGTTTTAGTCATCTTGTTTGTGAGTTATCAGTTATCAGTTTAGTTTTGGGTAGGACTTATTTTTTGGAGTCTTTTGCGCAGTTTTAATTAATAAATAGTCTATTTTTTAGCAATAAAAACCTTGTATACCTAGGCATTTCGTATTGGTTTATTATTCAATTATCAACAGGTGGCGTCGACCAACAAAGACAAACTAATACTTAAAAAGAAGAAGAAAAAGTGTACGCTGGACTCTGGACATACGTGAATTTTTCCAAAACTAACAACAGAAATATTTTTTAGATAACCCCTTATAATATAGATGATAATATAGAATATGAAAGATCTTATGTGTATTTATTCAATTTATCTTGTATTAACAAATTTAAAAATACTGTTAAAAATGCAGGAACATTCATTTTTATCACATGTCACCTATTCCATAAAAAAAATAGCAAACGAACGTATTAACGGCAAAAATTATTATTCAAAATCACCTAACAAAATCTTTTTTATTTGAAATTGCATTGGACTAACAATGGCAGCCTCTCCATTCTTCGAGATTGAAGACAGCCGGCGCAGCCGGTAAAGAGTGCCATCTATTATTTAATAAAATAGATAAAAATGTAGTATAGCTGAAATTTTACAGGTCGAAATCTATTTTTATGTTTAGTTCCTCTAGATATAACACACAAGTAATAGGCGCCACTTATCGGGTGATGTAACATAATATGCACAATTATGTGAAAACATGCGAATTATTGAGGATTGTTGGTTTTTGATTTATAAAAATAAATGTATCCACAACTTAGTAGAATTCCTCATATTTTAATATTTCTTTATTATAGTCATTTAAATAATATTGATGTTTCAAATTAATTTTTGGGGATAATGTGTCTTGCAAGAATTATTTTTATTGAGAAATTTCATGTATTATTCGAATATAATAAGAACAATTCTTTCAAACTGATCAAAACATGAAATGTAGATATCATACTCTAAAATATAGGGGACAGTTGGACAAAACAGGATTATCGGATAAAACACTCTCCTAATGGCTAAAACCGTTATAAAACACGTTCTACTTGCCGATTTAAAAATAAGCAGCGCCATATGACAAGTGGTAAATAACGTTGTTTGCAGAGTTCGGGGACATAGTTGTTAGTTTAAATATAGCAGGCAGGGCCGACAAGAGGGGGTAGCTGGGACAAATTCCCTGGGTCCGGGCTCAAGTGGGGACCCGACAGCACGCCGTTTTTTATTTATTTTTTAGAATTTCGCCACAACAAGAGCACAAGAGAGATGACCTTTTTTTAGAGATTTCACCAGGGCCGCCGAGAGCCAGGTCGGGCACCCGCGACAATTTTATAAAAAAATTAAGCTCTTCCAATATTACATTTCTAAAGAAAAGGTCCTCTCTCTGGTGCTCTTTTGGGGAACTTCTAAAAAAAACGTCGTCAGCTAAAGCAGGCCCCCTTATGCCGCTCTTGAGCCTGGGCCCCGGGAATTTGTCCCGGCTACCCCCCTTACATGGAAATTGTACCAAAAAAGAAGTGAGGTAGTTCTGAGTTTTTTATGAGTTGGTAGTGATGAAATGGGTAATGACAAATACAAGTTTTACACCTCGAAAGCCCTTCGGAACACAGTTAAATACTTGAAAATTCATTAAGATTTAAGAGTTTTTTCAGTTTTTGTCAATTTTTACCACCAAGGACCTACGTTACGGCAAAAGTTGCTATGGAAACTTTTCAAGTAGACTAAATTTGCAATTAAATGAGAATAATTTGGTTTTGGTAGGAGAAATAGTTTTTAAGATATGGCTATTTAAAAGTTTGCAAAATTTCAATAAAAAGGAAGTATTACTTTTTTTTAGTTTTCGATAATTTTTACCCCTAAGGTTTATGAGAAAAGTTATCAAGTCCACTAAATTCCCAACAAAATGAGACCAATTATGTCAACTTACAACTGATAGTTCCTGAGACACAGCTGTTCAAAGTTGTTGAGGTAAGTAAACAATTATGTAATTTGGTTGGTAGGCCAAATAGCAAAATTTCAAAAAAAAGGAAGTATTACAATTTTTTTTAGTTGTCTGATAGATTTTTACTGAAAGTGTGTTTTGTTTTTACTTTTATGTGCAACATTAACATATATTACAACAGAATTTGTTTATACTAATATCACAGGAGAAACAATACAACAAAAACCCGTGTCACCGATTTGATATTCAAACTAGCATGCTAACGTCAGTATTCCGTGAGTGTTATGTTTGATGAAACAACCATTGCTTCAGTTGCTCAGTTCAAGTTCCTATTGAATGACATGCTGAAGGTTCACCTGGAGAAGAACAAAATTCCTAATGTGGATTAAGAAAATAATATAATTTGTATCTATACTTGAATAAAATAAATTAGTACTTAGGTTTTTTCTAGCATTTCAACAATACATGGTTAAATGACAATTTGTAGAACATGTATTTACAACTGTCAAATTTAAATGAAATAAATTTAATTTATTTATATAATTTATTTCCTAAAATCCGTCCTGTGCTATAGATAAAACATTTTACACTACAGTATTGTTGGTTGCCTATAAGAAAACTAAAACGTAACAGATTCAACAGGTGGCTCTGTTGTTTTGTTTGCATATGCCTGAACGGTTGCCGAATTCTTTTAATACTAGTTTTAATGGCTACCTTGCAATAGGTGAAAGCGCAGCTAACAATTAATTATTGTTGATATTATGAAATGTAAATGTAGTGTCTTCTTAATTAGTGTAACCTCAGGTGTCAACAAATTGCTCATAATCTTGAAATGAGAACCAAGTGCTAAAAAATGTTTAGATTTTTAAGTGGAAGAAAACCTAGAAATGCAACAGCAAATAGTACAAACGCAAAATCGAATAAAAGTGTGATAAACAAGAATTTGTTACAATGTAGAGTAATTTTATTAGATGGAACCGACTTTTGAAATTTGTTTACTTGTAATTCGCGAAATAAGTGTGCCAGATGTAAAATCTCTTTTTGTTTGTGTATTTGTGTAGGCGTGTTTAACTCACAGAATTGTATTTCATAATCAATTATATTCTGTGAAGGTACACGTGGTGGTAATCTATCTTTAAATATTAAAAATAATATACAATTTGATATAAGTGAATAATAAAAATTTACCAATTTAAAGGTTATGCTAGGAAACTGGAATTCATTCTTATCTAGGTTGACAATCTATAAATTAAACAAACATTTCTAAATTATAGGGCTAGCATTAAACTGCATATTATAAAAAGTATGTCAGTTCAATAAAGTAGTTTACTAGTAGGTATCTGTTACAAATAATTAAAAGTAGTTTACTAGTAGGTATCTGTTACAAATAATTAAGGTATTTGTTCTTTTTATACTATCATTTCATTATTTCTCATTTATTTTAATAGAAATGTATTAATACAACTTTGCTTTCTAATTGTTTAAAATTACCCTAGTTCCCACATTTTTACACAATAAATACCAGACCTTATTTAGATGGGAAATCTTGCATTATCTAACTTTTAATTACCATTTGGATACTTAACTAACTAGGAAACATGCTGCTCTGTACCTTTTTTGTAGGTACAAGAACAATTACATAAACCTGAAAACATGCATATTGTCATTGAGAGTTCGTTGTCACTTACAAGGTACTTAGATATTTCATAATGAAAACTGTCCCAATACTCAAATGGTTTCTGTAACCCACATGTATGTAACTGTTTTGAGTAAAGATTTAAAAACTTGCAGCTAAGCAATATCATATCTATAATTGGTATATTAATGGGGAAATCCACCTTTAAATTCGGTACAATGGTTGGTATAATCAGAGACAATATTGTTCCAGCCCTCTAACAACCACTAGAAAATATCAGTTTTCTTCAATGAAATCTGTATCTGCAACCCAAACTTTTTATTTTTACTACCAAAATGTGAGTGGTTTTCATTAAAAACATGGAATTTTAAGCAACTTTTCAATTGCTACTCATTCTAGATACTTCCTAACAGAAACTTGGTGCAATGACTCTATTAATAATGCTGAGCTTTGCAATCCAATGTGATTTAATGTTTAGAAAGGATCCATGTTTCTCAGAAACAAATACATCGAGGGTGTACTAGAATTACTTGATAGAAATAATTTTATATCGACTGTTACTGATTTAGAAAAGTACCTAAGTATATATAAATCATTTATTTAGTCAAAAAACTATTTTTTACATATCTATACATCTTCACATTTAAAATAAAAAATACATAAGTATAGAATCAACATACATTTAAAATACAATAAAAATACAAGAAGTATACAGTACATGTCAACTTTACAAAACATAATAAAAGAACAAGAACAAGAAAACATTAATTAAGTAGTCAGTAAATACTCACATAGTTTTCTTTTAAATATTGCTGTGTTTGAAGAACATTTAATTTTTTCAGACAAATTTTTAAAAGCCTGGACACCTTTAAAAAACACTGAATTTTAAGTAAGTTAATCACTAATCTCTAAGTACATCTCTTACATAAGAGAAGCACCTCTTGCCTACCCTCCACACATTGCAGATTCTAATCTCTTCAACTTATGTGACCTAGTATAATTGTATAATCTCTTAAAAGCAGAACACAGACTATTGAATGCTCTGTCTGAAAAGCCATTGAAATTATTACTAAAGAAAACAATTATCACCCATTTTTAGATATTGATCTGAGTTTTGATAACAGATCAATTTCCAGTTAATTTTAAGTCAGACTATATAGTCTTTGCTTCATTTTAAAAAGAGTAACTACCTTGCTCTATATTCTGAACTACTTCACACTGACTGGAACTTTATGAGTCTATATAGTGATCCCAAAATAGCTACAAATTATTTTATAGACAAAATTACATTGGTTCTTATGATTAACATTCTAAAACAAAATTCTTCTCATACATATCCAATCTGGTGCAATGTCCAAATAATTCAAATGATTAAAGAAAAGGAAATTTGGTTGCCTTAATAGTCACCAATGTGTTAAAAACTATAAGATCTCAAAGAAAATGCAATATAAAAGCTGCTCATATTGAAAATTAACTGAAGAATAACGTTAACAAAATTTGGTCATATGTAAAAGGAAGAAAGGTAAATCATCAATACCAACTGACAATCCTCAACAAATAGTAGACAGTTTTGCTGATTATTTCTCAAAATCCTTCGCTGACTCTAAATCTCTGTATTATCAAAAAAAAATATATATTCCCAATTTAAACATCTTGAATTTCTCGAGGATGAAGTCATAAATGCTATATTATAATAATTGAAGTTGTCTATGACAATGGGACCTCATCTACAAATTTAATTTCTCTCTTTCAGTCATATCAAAACAGCTTTATTTTTACAAATGTCTGGTGTACCCCAAGGCCTTCTCTTTAACATTTTCATACCAACCTACTCTATGCTGATAATCTAAAAATATATATTGAGATATACGTTCAATTAATGATTGCAGAGATCTCCAGAAATCTTTAGAAAGAGTTGATGGGTATATTCATCTCTGCCTCCAAATTAGAATAGTTGCTGTTTTCAACTCCAATACCTTGCTTAAATAATGCATAAGAATTGATACTGAATTCTTTCTACTTTCAAGTAGGTGACTTGATGTTTATGAAATTCTGGTTAGTTCAAGTAATAACAAGTATATAGGTGTCTTTATTGATCTTGCAAAGATATCTAATACTGGTTCCCACAAACTACTTTTATAGGTTCTTGAAAGTTATGGAATAAGGGGAACCGTGCTAAGAGTCTTTGAAAACTATTTAAATGAAAGAAAACAAGTAGTAACTAGAATAAAGATATTTCATGCTTAGCATTCTACCAGGTGTTATAAATTAAAGCGTTACAGCTATATACCGCTTTTTATAAAAAAAACGTATCAGACGAAAGTTTTATAGTTTTGTAGGGAAAAATTTTTGGCTAAAATCGTTTTTTATAGCTAACCATAATATGGCCAACTTTTTTTTCGCGCAGCAACATTTTCAAGTAGCTGTTACTCAAAAAGTAAAAGTCCAATAAAAAAAATATTTCCCTCAAAAGTTTCTTATTTTTTTATGTACTTTAAGAATATATAAGAAAAAAATGGGATTCCCTTTTAAAAAAACAAAGTTCACCTCGATATGGTCAGCTATAAAAAAATGAATTTAGCCAAAATGTTTCCCCCAAAAAACTATAAAACTTTTGTCTGAAACTTTTTTTTCTAAAATGCATATTTTCGGCGGTATTTAACTGTAACACTTTAATTTGAACACCCGGTATATTATACTCTTCAAAATTTAACAGACCCCGCTCAACCTCTATATTCAATAGGATTTTTTTAAGAATTAATTTTTCCAGAAGATTTCAATTTGATATTGTTTTTGTTCCAGAGTTTTTTTTTTTGTGTACAGTCATTATAAGTAGGTAAAATTTACTATTCTTTATGTATTTAAACCATTTTTACATTTTGAACATATTTTCCTAGTGATTATACCTGTAGGTACGTATAAGCATTGTTTTAAAAATAATAAAAATTATTTAAAAGTATATTGATTTAAATTTATTTGTAAATAAAAACATCTTAAAAATGTTTTTTATTTTTCCATATTTATAGATCGATTATTTCAACTCAATTTGAACTACTATTTAATGGAACATTTTTAACAAAAGAAGCCAACAAATATTACAGAAAATAATAATGTTGCAATATTACACTTGTAATCATTATCACTGCTTTTTATTTAGACTCCTAATACATATACAAATTAGGGACATGATTATTATTGTATATGAAACAAAAAATTATGGTAAAAAACTTTATTGAAGGAATAGAATCTTCTAGAAATACCTATGTTCGTGATAAAACATCAAAATAACATCCTTTATTTACAAATACTGATAACAAACATTAGGTAAAAGGCAACATTCAAGCATTTCCTTCCAAGATATAAACATTCTTTTGAAAACAGATATTGAATGAAGGCTAAAATGTAGTGGGCTGTACTTCTTCAAACTTTAAACCCACCTCTTTCATTGTTTATTAATAGTATCTTAAGTACAGTGAGTGGCAAAAATAACTAATAAATAATTTTTTATGTCTTTAATAATTTAAGAAATATATAGATATCTACCCCTTAATTATTTGAATTTAAATATCTGCCTAATCTTCTATTTATATACAGTATGTCCCCCTAGGTTGAAATCATATGGAAAACTTTTTTATTATTAATTTTAGGAAAAAAAGTTATTCTTCATAAAAGTCGAACATGGTCTAAAACCTAAAATACAACCATCAGATATCAAATTTTATCAGTCGTACAAAGAATAAAGAGTAAAACTTATATTTTTTGACAAACCTCGTATACCACTGAAAAAATTTGATATTTGATGACTGTATTCTACGTTTTAGATAATGCAGAACTTTTTATGAAGAATAACTTTTTTCCTAAAATTAATAATAAAAATGTTTTCCATATGATTCCAACTTTTCAACCTAGGGAAACATACTGTATAAGCGAAATACCACTCACTGACCAATGACATATATAGTTTATCACTGACTCATCATGAAAACTCCAAAACTATAAGAAGGAAAGCTCACTTATGCGACACGTCTCGCGCGACTGATCGCGAGGCATCGCGCGCGGCAATACTTTAGATGTTTTTAAATGACTCAAAGCCCATTAACGCGATTCTGTCGCGTGGTCGCACGCGGCTGAAAATTAGAAATGACAAGCCCGCTATTTTCCTGCCGGACGCGGCAGCGTTATCATGAATTCATATGGAGCATCACTCATACACACGTCAAGTCGCGCGCGAAACGCCAGTTGAGAGTTGGAGTTTCCTGTTAACTTTTCGACAGTTCTAGTGAAAAAATGTCCGACAGTTGTATTGATATAGATGAATTTATATCCGATATTCAAGGCCGACCTCAAATATAGAACAGT